AAATCACATTATAAATCTAAACAGTTATAATGGTCACATTCTGTAATATTTCCTGCCCATGACGACAAACTTTGATTAATTACTAGTTAGAGATATGTACACCAGGGTGAAAATTTCTCTGTTCATTTTAGAAGTCTTGTCTCTATCCCAGGTGAGTATTGTTTGAGTTCCTTTGGAGAAAATATTGTTTTTGGCTCCCATGAAATCAAAGTATCGCTGAATGAGAAGAGGCCTTTACCATAAAATTAACACATCCAATAATATAACCTTGGCTAGAAATAGGAAATGGGTTAGAGAGGCTCTCATATCTCACCCGGTCTCTGGAATCCAAACACAGGAGTGGAACTGTGAGCCAGTTTCAGTCAATACACAACTATGTCATGCCCTCATGCCTAGTGACAAAAGCCTTGCACAAGTCTAGGATAGGATTATTGTAATTTATATGGCCACTTGTTCAGCAGCCTTTCAAAGATGCTGAATAAGGGTACTTACAAGAGGTCCTTGAAGTTCTAGCTGCCCCAGCATTCATGTGATCACAATCTCAGGGCTTGGCCATCAGCTTGCACTTATAATAGTTGTAAAGTCCCACAATCCCATTACTGCCAGCTTACCCCAAAGTTAATGTGAAAGTTGGCAGGGGAGGTTACAAATTGCTCCAATAAGTTGTGTGGACCCTCTCCCAGTCATATGCAGCCACTTACTTGCCTGCCAGCCTGGGGCTAGCTTAATTAGCTGCAATCCTCACTTAATGATAACAATGGCATGTTACCAAGATTGCTGTCACTAAGTGATGAGAACATGTGACTTTGCACTTTATGACTGCATTGCTTAGCGATGGAAATTCCAGTCCCAATTAACTTTGTTAACCGAGGATTACCTTTATCTGCATGGGATAAAAGCTAAAACATAATCTCCCCAAAATGAACCTAATGTAAATCTCCTTGAAACTTTCTTAGTCATGCAAAGACCTGTAGAGACACCGTAGTAGGAAGGCTCACTTTTCAAAGTCAAAATTCGTTATTGGCTAACAAGTCTTACTTATCTGAGACAAATTGTTTTTCTACTATTGGTGCCAAATTGGATCTGGATGAATTTTATGATTAGCTCTTACCTTATGGTTTTATTTGTTCTATAGCATTTTATTCTTTTTTATGGTTTTTTTCATGTTTATATGGAAGGATATCTGTTTTATAAGCTATATGACAAAATGCATTATCAACTGATGCACTACAGCCAATTGGTGGTCATTTTACAATTCTCCTTGTGGCCAGAGGTGATGCACAAGCCAATCCTTACCTCAGATTCTTAGGTTACTTTTTCAAAACCCATAAGAAGGGACCTAGACTCAACAATCCTGCAGAATGGCTCCATGTGGCAGCTGCTTCATTGCCTCCCAAGTAATCATAGGCTAACTACTGCAACTTTTTATTCCTTCCTGAATGCAGCCTTGTGGCTTTAAGGAAGGAAAGCTGCCAATGGTCAAAAATTGTCAAAAAAAAAAAAGGGACACAATTCCTTGTATGGCAGCCCTCAAATCTGCTTAATCCTCCTTCAGACCATCATCTAGCGAATCTCCAAGTAATACAAACCAGATACAGTATTTATCTCACCGAGAAACCTAAGTGAAGCTACAGAAAAATGTGTGACTCTCCTGCATCAGTCTAAAAAAGGCACAATAAAATCAGGCTCATTGATTTTTAATTAAGAGGCTATCCCTTTGCAATTAGTAAGGCATGTGCCTGCATTGCAATCAAAGCAAGTCTTAAAACTTGCAGTGAACTGTAGCAAATGGTTTTGGCAACCAGCAAAGGCCTTCTAGAGGTCTTTCCCATGAATCAAACCTCATCAGATGGCATAATTGTTCAAGAACACAGCTTCAAACTGTTATGATCCTTAAATAAAATATCAAAATACTTTTCTTGTATGGCTTTGGGTGATATATGTTTTGTTTTATTTTTTTGTATTTTTGAGACTCTCACTGGCCCCAAGATACCTAGTAAGCTTGGGGCTAAACAAGGATTTAAACTCATCCGTTTCTTGTCTTAAACCAATACTAAAAGAATGCATCACCATGATTAAGGTGATACATTGTGCTAAACATTAATAGTATTTAACAGGCTTTAGATATCATTCAAACAGTAAATAAACCATGGTTTGTTAGTGCAAAAAGTACAGTTTAAACACATAGTTTTGCAGTTGATTTACTGATTACCACAACGCCGCTACTTCTATTGCTGCTCCGTATCACACATACCATTGGAAGTCTGTAAGTCACATTCAAAATGTTGCATTTTATCTTGTGAACTACCTAAGACTCTCCAGCTTTCTTAATTTAAAAAGTGCTTTATTTCTTCTTGATGTGTTTCACCTAAGGGGGGGGATCAAATGTGAAGAATAGCCAGATTTTATATTTTCATCAATACTCGCGTTGATTTGTGTCTTTCTTTATCCCAGGAGACCTGGGAAAGCATCACATACATATTGAATAATCCTAGCACTTTACAGGGTTTAATTTGAATATTTGCAGCTTTCCCCCACACTCCATCTTGAGACTATAACTATATGCAGATTCAGAATTTGAATATTCCATCTTGTTTTGTTTATCATGCAAAAGCTATCATCAAGGTTTATAGGCAATCGACCACCAGAAAGCCTTGAATGCAATAACCTAAAGTCCCATCAAATATTACCATTGAATAAAAATGAGTAATATCACAAAAGACTGAAACAGTTACACATAAGGGAAATAACTGAATCCACTGTATTGAGTAAATGTTAAAATCAAATGAAATCAGATTAACTTTTAATCCCACTTCTGGAAAAATGGTCCCCGTCATAACTTCAAAATCTGGTGTGGCCTGTTAAGCACCTGCAGCCAGGAAGATTGAAAAGCTTCCAACAACAGCTTGGCTTTTATTGGATCTAGTAAAGAAAGATCCATTTCTCTGATTTGTAGGATTACAACACTGTTGTCCTTCAGATTGACATTTTTCCTCATCAGATTGTTTTTTTTCTTTTTATACAACTGAAAATCTTTTATTATTGATATTTGTAAAAGGAGTTTCTTTTCTGATTCATGAACTGGTGGGAAAAAAATATCTTGCAACTAATTTTGGAAATACTATATAACCATTCCTAGTCATCATTCAGCAATATTGAAGCAATGGGTGTTTTATATCTGAACTGATGACCCATCAAGTGACAACTGCTGAAAGATAAATCCAAATGATTTCTAACTAACCAATAGCACAGAACAACCCTTGTCCCAAAAATATTTACTAAAGCACCACTATCCAGATATACAGTATGTATCTTGATTTATTAGATCGCTAGATGGATCAAGTGCTTCACATTTTTAGCTCTATCGACATCCTTATCTAGTCAGGGAAACCGTGAACCAACTAGCAGCTTTCTTTTTGACCCATCAGGTGCAAATCCTCCATCTATTTCAGGCAGCTCGAGAAGCAAATCTAGACTGGTTTACTAGCTAGCCATGGTTTAAACATCTTTTCATGAACAAGTCACAATGGAATCAGTTTGCACAATAGACTAAGCCATAAAACCTGGCTTTTAAAAGATAGTGCCTGGATTCATGCAACTGACTAAGCCAAACCAACCAGCCAACCAATCACATCATGGTGCAATGTGAAATTAGGTTTTAAAGTTGGAACATTTTGCTTTGCCTGATTATGTGAGAAACCAGATTCCTAGTGCTGAGAAGTCTCTGTCCTGTTGTCCATTGCTTCCAGTCATACAATCTCATGTACATCTATATGAAATCTAAGACCACCTCAGCTAAAGGGGCTTGAATCCAATTTGAAAGTCCTAAGTCAGTGATGGCGAACCTTTTAGAGACTGAGTGCCGAAACTGCAACCCAAAACCCATTTATGCATGGTCGGGTGCCGGGTGGGTGTGTCCCATTGGGTGGGTGTGGCCCATTGGATGGGCGTGGCTGCGGGGGTGATGGCAGACTGGGTGGGACTAAAAAGTTTAATCAATCAATTCCAACTTTTGCAAGATCTTTTTTTTCCCGTGAGAAGTTGAAATTGACTGATTGAACCTTTTTTTTTTTTTTTTGCACATGGCGATAGAGGCCTAAAGCAAAAAGGTTTTATAAAACCCAGCTGAAGGCCTAGGACTGGGGCAATGGGGTGCGTGCCCACAGTGAGGGCTCTGAGTGCCGCCTCTGGCACCCGTGCCATAGGTTCGCCACCACTGGCCTAAGTGAAGGTGTTTTGTTTTGCTATTTTCCTTGTACAGTAAAGATGGGGATTTAAATCTCAGCAGCAGCAAGCTAATGATAAAATGGATGAGCCACTCTGTAACACAGAAAGTGCAACTTCTGGTCCATGTTCTTGCTAATGGTCTTCCCTTCCCTGCGGTTGTATTGCTTACAGTCAGGGTATTAGTCACACTAAATTTATTACAGATTTTTAACAGGTCTTAAGGGTGAGTATTACCCATCAACTGCATTGATCTATCGAGCTTGTTTCTTCAGCTTCCAAGGGTCAAAAGAAAGATCTTTGGCCTTTTTTTTTTCAGTCTTTAGCAAAGGGGATGTTGTGAGAGCAAAGGAGGATGGTCGATAAGGAAACTCAAAAGCTATAGCTAATGGCGTCACCTTGTGGCCGCAAAATACATACAACTTCTCTCCAAAATCCTACATCACAAATGGTTTCTGGGCTCGTGCATCAAGCTCAAGAATGAGGAAACAAATATCTAATCATCCCTTGGTTTGAAGCCTCCAAATCACCTGAAATAAGGATCCAGAAGCCATTAGGAAATTGTGCCATGTGGGTCATAAATTAAGTGCTCCTGTAAAAGATCTTTTAGTATTCACACTAGATGAAGGGGCATAAAAGATGCCGACATGGAAATAATATCAGGACAACATTCCTGCTTATGAACCATGAAAGCTCTCAAACAGTTTTCAGTCTTTTCTTGTAATGTTACCACATCCATAAAATACTGTTATTTTATTATTACAATTTATAGGCACCTTAGGCTGCTGACTGCTCCTCGTGCAGTTTAAGCAGTTGAGACAAGATTCTGGGTTGTATGCTTCTACTTTTCAGATCCTTGGGTTGCCAGAAAATGTCATTGTTCAAATGATCTATCTTCTGAAATAAAACCAACTAGCTGGACACCATGTGGAAGCTGAGCAAGAAAAAATGCAAATAGTGAGTGACACGAAGTTATGCAGGCTGATGAAAACAAAAGCAAACTTTGAAGAGTTCCAAAGGAATCTTTCCATAACAGGTTAATGTGCAATACAATGATAAAGTCAGGGTAAGGAAATGAAGATAATGCAAACATAGGAAGAAAGAAGTGCATAACATACAGTATACTGGCTGTGTGCATGCAACATCCTTACCCATGATTAATAAAACATATTTTACTCAATCAATTTTTTTACGTTCACTTGTCATAATGAGTCACAAAGAATGGGATGGACTCTCATAATATGCTATGCCAAAATGTGATTCAATATATTGTTCTAACACAGGGGTCTTCAAGCTTGGACCTTTTATGACTTGTGGACTTCAACTCCCAGAATTCCTCAGCCAGGCATGCTGGCTGAGGAATTCTGGGAGTTGAAGTCCATAAGTCATAAAAGGGCCAAGTTTGAAGACACCTGCTCTAGCACAACCTTCCTCTAACGTGGTCAAAACTGGCAGCGATTAAAAATACATCGTGGTTTACATATCAATAAAATATTAACTCAAGGTACTTCCATGTGCGGCCAGTATGGTGCTCCTGAACCTGTGTGATTCCTAAGTTGCTTATTTTATCCAGCATCTGAACCAATTTATCTGAACCCCAAACCATCATGAGTCTGGCTTTCCGATAGAAATACTTCTTCTTTTTCTTCCATTGGCAGGAATACTTTTCTCATCTTGTGTCCCAATTCTTCAATCTCAGGTTTAGGGGCTTGACTGCTGTAGCTTTATCACTACAATTTTATTCACTTTTAAACTGATCAAAAAATTAAAAAAATAAAAAGTCTCTTTGGTAGTTTTTCAACTCCCAGCCCCCAATAGCATAGTACAGAATTTTAATCAATCACAAAGGTAGCATGAATTAAGAATATGGAGATGGCAATGCCGTGGCTAGATGTTTTAGCTGTTCTATTGGCCAGCTGAATGGAGCATTAATTGCTTTGTTTTATTATACTTGTTAGGTTGTTGTTAATTTCTTTTATTCAGGAACTCAATCAGCAGACAAAGAAATCTCCTTTCATTTTATCCCTACATCAACAATTGTGTGAGGTGAAAGGCCCAAAATGACTGAGTGAATTTCAATGGATGAGCGTGTCCTTGAACCTAGCGCCACATTGTTATTACAATAATGTTTTGAGCAAATCTGACCATGTGTTGTCATCAGTGTCTCAGGATTTGAAGAGTGAAAATGGTGGTGGCATAGAGGTGTCCTCAGTGTTATGTAATGGGATAGGAAACAAATTCCATATTAAACCTAAGATGTGGCCTTGGAAGGGATGACCAGATTAACACCAGAGATTCCTTATAGAGCTCTACCTCTGTTCTACCTCCATTCCAGGGCAGAGGCTTCCTACTACTATACTCTGAGATCCTTGACTCATCCTTGTTCTTTCGTCCAATGAACCAAAAGGATGAGCTATTGTCTTTTGTTCAGGAAAACTCTTCAGGACTGCTTTGTTTGTTCTTACCAAAACTCAACTAGTGTATTTAGGAGAGGGGAGTGCTCACGTTCATCTAGAGGCAGCCATTTGGCTGACCACTGACTCCTTCTCATGACAGGCCTCCTTTCATAACCACTAAGTCACGGGATGAGAGAAAATTGAGAAATCATTCAGACAATTCACAGATTCCCTTAAAACGCTTTTTAAAAGCATGATGTAAAGAAAATGCAGACTATATTCATTTGGAATGTTACTCTATGATGGCTTAAGAGATGTTTTATAAATAGCCTAGCAATATGAGAAGAAGTAGTACAATATAGAGAGAAGGTTCTCAATTCATCCCCATATATTACAATACTCTATTTGACATTTCAGTGTTGCAAATTCTGGATCTGACCATCAAGATTAAAAGATGTCGAGACTTTGGAAAAAGTGCAAAGAGCAACTAAGATGATTAAAGGCCTGGAGACTAAAACATATGAAGAACGGTTGCAGGATTTGGGAATGGCCAGTCTACAGAAAAGAAGGACTAGGGGAGACATAATAGCAATATTCCAGTATTTGAGAAACTGCCACAAGGAGGAAGGGTTCAATTTATTTTCCAAAGCAACAGAAGGCAGGACAAGAAACAGCAGATGGAAACTAATCAAGGAGAGAAGCAGCCTGGAATTAAGGAGAAACTTCCTAACAGCGAGGACAATTAACCATTGGAACAGCTTGCCTTCAGACATTGTGGGTACTTCATTACTCAAGGTTTTTAAGAAGAGCCTGGACAGCCACTTGTCTGAAATGATATAGGGCACGGGTGTCAAACTCACCACGTCACGTAGCATTGTCGCGACGTATCGACTCTTTTTGCATTGCCGGCAATGAGTGGACGCGGCTTTGGTATGATGAAACCAGCCCACAGGCCGGCAGTTTGACACTCATGATATAGGATCCCCTGCTTGAGCAGGGGGCTGGACTAGAAGACCTCCAAGGTCCCTTCCAGTTCCATTCTGATTGAAGTCCAAAAGCAAAATTGAGCACATCAACATTGGGAAAAGCTTTTAAATCTCAGGACTACCAAGTGAGATATTTATAATTCTGACAAAATTCAGAATATACAAAAATCGTACAGGAAGTCAACTTGCGACCACAGTTGAGCCCAAATTTTCTGTTGCTAAGTGAGACATTAGTTGAGTTTTGCCCCATTTTACGACTTTTCTCGCCAGTTATTAAGTGAATCGCTGCAGTTGTTAAGTTAGTAAGACAGTTGTTAAGTGAATCTGGCCTCCCCCATTGACTTTGCTTATCAGAAGGTCACAAAAGGTGATCCCATGACTCCAGGACACTGCAACCATCATGAGTCAGTTGCCAAGTGTCTGAATTTTGATAAGGTGACCAGGGGGATGCTGCACTAGCCATAAGTGTCAAAAAGTCATGTCATTTTTTTTCATACCACTGTATCTTTGAATGGTCACTAAAATGAACAGTTGTAAGTTGAGAACTACCTATCTCCTATTCTTTTATATCCAGGAATTAATAATGTTGGACTCCAACCTGCTCTGGTAGAATACTAGTTGATATGGTTTTATTAAAGTCAATGAGACTTAAAACAGGTTAAAAACAAGCTGAATTAGGTAGTGAATTGGAGGGTTAGTTGTTTAGCATGCAGTTTCTCAATTGTACATACTATAACGTGCTGTTGTTGACCAGCCTCTTTTTCCTGGTGTCCATTTGCAGTTAGATTCAAAGTATTGCCGGGCAGTATTCATAAATATAAGAAGCACAAGAATATCAGAAATGGTATCCCTATCTCATATTTCCCTAGCAAAGCAGACTTACAATATTAATAAATCATAGGGAAATTGGTAAATAAATAAACAAACAAATAAATAAATGCATTTGCTTTTTTACTAAGCAATTTCCTTGCCTGGTTCTGTATATAAATCAGAAGCTTAGCAAATATAATTAATGTCAGTTATGTGATTGCTTTAAAACAAACAACATCAATTATTTCATATCTATCTCTACATTTGCAAGTTTTATTAGACAAGATCATGTGATTTTTTTTACAGGGAATATGTAGTTTTTGTCATAATCCAAAATCTGTTTTAATATTCAAGTTTAACAGCAAGCAAAATAATTAAAACCTGAAAAAATAATACTTTAAAAATACTACTTTCTTTAAAATTTAACAATGTTAAAATCCATTATGAAATAAAACCTAGTTTATATTTTGAATCCACCAAGTAACAACTCATCCTCATTTGTGCTATACCCTCAATTGTGAATAACCATTAATAATTTTGAAGCATCCATTATAATACCATTGCAGAGTTACTGAAGTAGTTTTATTAAGGTAAATTTATAGTAATGGTAGAAATTAATACCACTCTTATTTTTACCACAGTCTAGCTTTATTGAATGCCATGGGGCATATTAATCAGTAAAGCAAAAGAGAGCATGAAATAAAAGTATAAATTAACCTGTAACATGAATGAAAAAATGGGGATTAATAAATATGAAATAAATAACACTTTAACAATAGTCAACAGCCTGGTTTAACCAAGGCCAGAGGGCAATAATGCAGAAAACAACTAGGGTTGACTGATAACATTAGAAAACTTTTTCTACCCTATTCCAAACAACATGATCTAGGGATAAGTAGGTAGGTAGGTAGGTAGGTGGGTGGGTGGGTGGGTGGGTGGGTGGGTGGGTGGACAGATAGGGAGGGAGGGAGAGGGAGAGAGAGGGAGGGAGCCACCCCAGAGAGGAGGAAAGTCTACATTGCTGATGGAGAAGACATTGCATCCTGCAGTCCTATTAATCCATGGACACTTCTGTGGGCATGAAGCATTGTCCAGAAATTCTCATCAGCCATAAATCCTAACAAGAGTATTGAGTAGAGTTTGAGGACTGATTAAACAAAATTAAAACTGTTCTATTGTACTCTCCCTAAATAGGGTTCATTAGACCAGCCAAGAGATGGGGCATCTTAAGGAAGCTAGTTCACTTTTTGTTTTGTGATTATTGTCTTTATCTGGCAGCCATTGTATAAATTAATCAGTCATCCCTGTGGCAGCCATGTTGTGAGTACACCCATCATATGCTTTAATTCAGGGTCCCCAACCCTATGCCGTGGTCCACTACTGGGTCTTGAGCTGTTCGGAACTGGGCTGCAGAAGTGGTAACAAGGCATGAGCATCCCCACTTGTGCGATCAGTGGGCACACCCGCCACTCATACAAATGGAGCTGCGCGCATATACTTGCCCACCACTTGCGCAGAAACATCCCCTCTCCCTCCCCCACCGGTCAGCAAAGCTGAAAAGGTTGAGGAACTCTGCTTTAAGTATTCCAAATGTGCTTTCATCTGCAAAAGTTGCCTCTACCTCATAAAATCATAGGGATGGAAGGAACTTTGGAGATCTTCTACTACTGCTTTCTGCCCAAGGTAGGAATCCTTATATCAGATGTCCTCAACCCCTGGTCTGTGGATCAGTACCGGTCCGCAGCATGCCAGCAACTGGTCCGCACAAACAAGGAAAGCCCCACCTGCAGGATGCAGGCAGCACACAAAACCACAGCCCCTTCCGTCTGTGGAAAGACCTCTCTCCACGTAACCAGTCCCTGGTGCCCAAAAGGTTGGGGATCTCTGCTTATATCATCCCAGACAAATGGTTGTCCAATCTTTTCTTGAAACTTCTAGTGATGGGGCACCCGCATCTCCTGGAGGGCAGGCTGTTCATTCTGCTCATTAACTGTTCTCATCTAGGACAGATGGAACACACATCTCAAGGAAAGTACAAAACATTAGTAAAAAATCGAACTCTCACCATCTTCAAACAGTTACCTAAGGCAGAGATCAAAAGATGGTGAAAGAACCACAAAATATACCCCTGAGGTATTATTATAGTAACACCTCAATTTCACAGATCGTGCAATTAGAAGACTTTGGATGCAACAAGCCAAATTTCTATTTCGCCCAACAAAATAAACAGTCTAGGTGAGACAAACCAAATTAATATAATTTTAATTTTATGACATCCTGGCAATTTAGGTCATTTTGCTTAATCATAGGTGAAACAGATCGCATATGACACATTCAAAGTGTCATATTTAATGGACAAAGACATTTCCCCCACTGAATTGTTAAAGGAAGGTATAGTTGTATCACTATGTTGTAATTTCAGGCTGGACTTTCCAACATCATGGCTACAGATTCTGTCCAAGAAATGATCATCTGAAGCCATCTTGGATCATCTTAGCAGCTGCCATTGCTTTGGGATTTATGCTCCTGCTATTTATCTATTGCAGTGTTTCTCAACCTTGAACACTTTAAGATGGGTGAACTTCAACTCCCAGAATTCCCCAGCTAGCATGGAGTTTTAACTTGTTGCAATTGCTAGTTTGAATCAGATTTTAGCTTGGCTTAGTTGTTTTTTAATCCATATCATTGTTTCTTCTTCTTTGAGAGCTTTGATTATTGTTTTTTGAGGCTGCCATATTTTAAGTTTTGGGAGTGTCGAAGGAATCTTCCTTCAAGTTGATTTTATTTATGACATTTGCCTTAAATGCTCTCCTTCTTAGAGCTTGTCCCTCTTGGTTGTAGGGCACGCTTTTTTGCAATGAACTGCCTAGTTCACAAAGTGAAAGAAAAAACAATACACGATGTAATGAGGTTTTTTTTTTCCAGCCATCTTGTTACAGAGCCTGATGATGATTAAGGCTGAAGGGGGGGTGAGTGGCCCAACAACACCCATCTGGTTTCCATGCTCAGACCAGAAACAAGAGATTTTCTGTTCCTAGCCCAGCACCTTAACCATCATTATACTATGCTGATTCTCAACAGAAGCCTTAAAGCAGGGGTCTTCAAACTTGGCCCTTTTATAACTTGTGGACTTCAGCTCCCAGGATTCCTCAGCCAGCGTGCCTTAAAGAAATCAAAGCCCTTCAATAAGACCTTAAAAAATTGAGAATAAAAGAATACCAATACTTTTGTTAAAAAAAAATAAATGCAATAAAATGTTATGATAAAAAATAGGTTTAAAAAAAACCTCAAAGATGCCTAATTAAAAAAAAAATAGAAAAGGCTGGTACATGAATAATTACAGTAGTACCACCACCACCCCATTACATAAACAAAGTTAAAAACTGTGACCATTTGACCCAAACTTGCAGCTATAGGATAACCAATGAGCGCCCCCTTCTGGATTTCTTGAAAAAAAATTAATAGGTAAGCTACACTCTTAGCCTTGCTGTTCCACCATTAAGGTTATGAAAGGGTGAAGGTGAACTTACCACTGTTGAAATGTGTACTGTACTGTATCAAAATCCTTTTTAAAAAATGCTATCCCAAAACCTCTCTTTTAAAACAGTATTAAACTAAACTGCAAGTTTTAATCAAAATACCTCTAAAGATTCCGTAACCCCTCCCATTTAATGCTGATGTGTCTGCCAGTTGCCCGAGCCAGGTTATGTTATGTCTGCCTTTATAAATATGCCCTAGGTGCCAGACAGCCAGTTAAAGATCTGAGAAAATGTAATGATGCTGAACAGGAGTAAGTCTTCACATTTAGTCAAATGAAGTCCCAGTTTTCTTCCATGATGTTCCCAAGGAGTTCTGTCAGCTAATGAGCTGCTAATGAGCAGCTATTTCCTAACAGATGTGAGCAAACCACCATCTTGTGATGAAAAGCTCCATAGGTGAGCTTTTGCAAAGAGAAGAAAGCAAAGTTACTGGCTATTGTGCTACTGGATATCTGTTGGCTTTCCTAGAAATGGCCTTCCTGCTTTGACTGAAGGTAGTATATAGGAATAGCAATCATCTGGAGAGCTGGATGGCTCCAACCCTGAAAACCTGGCTGTCGATGTGATTTTTGTGATTTGAATGTACCATTTACCTCAGGCATCATGGGTTATTGCTTTTAACTGTTGGGTTTTAATATCTGTACCCTGACCAGAGTTACTTCTGTGAAATGAGCAACCATATACATTATTTAAATATATAAAGAGTATTAATGAGCTATTCACTAAATCACAGAAGAGTCAAAAGATGGCCACAGAAAAACTGGGAAGCTTTGCTCACATATAGAGTTATTCTTCTGTGAAATGGGTATAGTTCTAACAAGCAAAAGCTTCTTGCAAAAATAGGAGCGTTATGATCTGGAGGTACTGGTAGACTAATCCCATTAATCAGGGCTTTTTTTCTCATAGAACTCCCAGAACAGAGTTCCGGCACCTTTTTGGGATGGAACCTTGTAGGATAGGCAAGGCGGGTTGTATGACGTGTGTGAGTTCCGGCACCTTTTTTTTTTTTTTTTTTTACAAAAAAAAGCACTGCCATTAATAATCAAATGTGAATTTTCTACATTTTAAGCCTGCCTCCTTAATAATATTTTCTCATGTATGTTAAAATCATTAAATAGCACAAAAACAGCTTAAAAAAATAAAGCTGGATTTTTTTTCATTGTGAAATATGTGTCAAGTGTGCCATCATATAAACTTGGATTATGTGAATTTGGAGAATGGAGAGCTACATGACCTTTGGACTAAACCTCACATTCCATAAATGTGGTGTGAATGTACCTCATTAACCATTTTAACACTAGGTCTTCACAGAACTACCTTCTTCTTGTCCCCAGTCCATACTGAAGCAGCTTAAAGTCACTGTTAGTTGTTCCAGTTTTAAATACTGATTTTTTTTCTTCTCCTGCCACACTTTTGCGGTATAGATGCAATATAGTGTGCTTCACTGGCAATGTAATTTCAGGCCACTCTTGAGAGAGTACTAATTGTGTGTTGCACAAAACAAAACAAAAACAAAAACCTTGATATAAACCAGGAAAGAGAGCTATGTTCTGTTCCCTGTTTCTGGCAAAAAGGTTTTTTATGTGATCATACTTTTTACTGTTTTCATTTATCTGATTGAGTTATGCCTACTGCAGGAGAGCCAGTTTTGTGCATCATTTTAAAGCTATAGACTGGGAGATCATGAATTCCATTCTGCCTTAGGCATAAAGCCAACTGGGTGACCTTGGGCGGGTCACTCTCTCTCAGCCTTAAGGAGGAGGCAATAGCAAACTACTTGTGAAATCTTGCCAAGAAAACTGCAAGAATTTGTCCACTAGGAGTCAAGGTTGACTTGAAGGCATTTAAAAAATTCTGGATCCATGGCCGTTTGTAGATTAATTCTGGGTGCTCTGGCCAGAATACCAGGATGACTACCATTCCTAGACAGAACAGCTCAAAATTGGAGCTTGATTATCATTAATCCCCTTGTGCCAATTCTCCATAATCTATGTCCTATCAGTTGGGCTATTTCTGGACACAGGTTGAGCACTTCCAGAAGAGTGTTACCCTTCTATTCAAAAATAGGCTGTTGGATAGGTCACAGGTGGAAAACATCTCCACACCTGACACCTGTTAGTCTGGCACATTGATTGATGGTTGTCTAACGTGCCATTCCAAATACCTGCCCACATTCTTCCAATCTGAATTAGGTTGCATGATTGTATTCCTACTAGCAAGTGATGCTGGGGGAAGAGAATAACGCTGGGGGAGTCTTCCATTTTCTTGTCTCATGTTAAAATGGTAAAGACAGCATCACTGCGGGTTTTTC